GACGATGCCCCATGCAGCCCTCTTCCCCGTTGTCCCTGAAGAGCTGTGTCACCATTTTACATATGCAGTTACATCATTGCTTAAGCAGCAAGCTGAAAGTTTTCAAATCATTTTTCAATTACACTTGGCCCATTTTTGGAGCAGTGGTGGAGAACAGGCCAGCCTGCGCCAAGAGGTGTGTGCTCTGTCAGTGCTCATCAGCATGGCTAGCACAGAGTGTTGTGTTAGAAAAATGCTCTTAGCCAAGGAAAAGCAAAGAGAATAATTCTTAGTTTTTCAGATGTGAAAGGATGGTAACAAAATTACTGCCAGTTCAGTGCCAGGCTCTACAAGATTTTTGAGGTCTATAGCCCATGCGTTACAGTTTTCCCACTCATGGAGCCTGATGCAGCACTAACTTCCATCACAGTTTTTAGTGTGAATCTGAAAAATCTTTAAGTGAAATTCCTATAGAAACTAAGCAAGTGGGACTGTGAGCAGATCCAGAGGCATGGGGTCTTCATTCCCAACCGAGCCCACAGACCTGCATCACCACTCACATCACCCTCTGTCATTCCCTTTGATGCTGTGTGGGCAAAGTAGAATTATAGTTGCTTTTGACTCTCAGGTGTGCTTGTTGGTTTGTTTTGGGTTTTTTTTTTTTGCAGACTGTGGCTCTATTAAGAGCTGACTATGCTTAGTGTATGGCACCGCCTTAAGGCTGCCATCAACAGCACATGAAGGGTTCAAAGGCGGGGTAGTGGTCACCCTTCTACTTTCTCCAACATTGTTGGAAATCTGCAATATTAACAAACTATTAATACTAACAAATTTGAAATGGTGTATTAAGAAACTCCACAGGTGATTAAGTGGACCGAAAGAAAAAAAAGAGAGTACTGTATTTTCTAATCAATGTTATCTGTCCTTTTCCCATCTTGCCACAGTTACTCGATGGTGGAGTGGAGGCATACCCATATCCCCCAGAAGAGGCTGAAGATACCACACCTCCACCAATACAGATAACCCTCAGGCTTCCTGACAACGTGATGTATTTTGAGGATCCTGTGATAGCCCGATGGGATCCTGCAGGTACAAACTTAAAATAAATTTATGTCCTAGGTTTGAATAATGGAATTTATACCTGAGTTTGATTATTTCCAGAATCTAGCTGTAAAGATAAGAGCTAATTCAGAGCTCAGAAATAATTTGGGGACTTCAATGTTAATCGACTTGTTTCTTGGGTTTTTTTTGTGTTCTGTTTTGCTTCTGCACCTTATTTAATGCTGGATTGCTTGAAGCTTTTTACTGTAGCTTCTTCATATGATTGAAAAAAAGATACATACCATTTAATGGAAGTAGTACAACTGTATACCACAAATCAAGTTTTGCTAGGGTGAAGCCATGTAAAGTCCACTTTGAGCCAAATTAGCTCCTAACTTAATGTGTAAGTTAAAATATGGAAATTAAATGTTAAAAACCAAATGTGATATTCTAGTTATTAAAAAAATACAACATACCTCTGACTTTACATTGATGAAAGAGAGTAGAACCTCTTAAAACAATTTGATGTTTGAAGTTACTCTTGAAAATGAGCTTGTAGACTGCTATATAGCAAGTAAGATGTGACAATTACATTAGTATTTGTATTTCTTTTGCAATTGCGAAGCTTTCCTGTCAAAATTAGCCCTATCTTGTACTTAAGGACAATTAAAATAAGGAAAATTTTGGCCTTAAAGAAAGTTCATTGATTTTGTGCATAATATTTTATCTTAGCTGTAAATATTATCTAACCTAGGATGTCTTTACCAACTAATTCTTTGCTGGCACATATCAGAAGCTTTACACATACACCTTTGTATTTTTGCATCCCTTTTGTAAAGGCCAACAGTGGAGAACTGATGGCATCAGTAACATAACATATGAAAAGCCAGAGAAAAGCGTAACCTTTGAGATGGGTGCCTTTTATACGATAGCACTTCTCCAGGATGCTCACCTCAACATGCCCTATCAGGCATGGAAATTGCAACCTACTGCTATGGATGAAGCACTGCTTGTAGTTACTACAGTCTTTGCCACGGTTCAGATACAAATTAAGGTACTGTAAATATTTTTTTATAAAAACATTTGCAGCTTTTAAAAAATATATAGAATTATTACAGTGTCCTTTGTTAAGAACTTGGGATTCTTCCAGAAGAGCAATTTGAATCTCACTCTGCCTCAGTTAAAAATGAGAGATGATCTCTTTCTTTCCATGCACTGTAAGGAAGAGAACTGATGATTTAATTTCAGTTATTTTCTGTGAACTGGTCAGAAGAAAGCATCTGTATGATTGTTCTGCAAAGTTCCAGTAAGAGCTTTGATATTGATACCACCTTGCTGGATTCAAGATTGTTCTTCTCTCCTCCCAAGTATACCAAGCATTTCAAGCAACCTACTACTAATGCTATTTGTTCCTTCTAAAGGTTTGAGTTACACATGATTATCCATGTGCTCATTGCTGTATAAATCAGTTCAGTAACAGACGTGGTTTTAAAAGAGTCTGTACGCAAGCAGGGGCCAGTAGACCAGTGTCATTTCTGAAATCCTACAGAGAAGTGGCTTTCTTCAGGATATGGAATTAAAGGTTACAGCCTAGAGTGGTAGCTAATGTATACAATATCCAGAACAGCAAAGATACTATTACTAATTTGATGCCTGAAGCAGAAAATAGCTTTCATTACCAATAAGTTGTTTTTTACGGTTTTGTACAACAGGGTGATCAGTGTATGTTGTCTTCAGTAGTGGTGGAAGAGAGGGATGTGCTTTCACACATCACAGGAAAATGGACAAGTCCAGTTGACCTAAGAACAGTTTTGAAAAAAGCTGGTGTGAATATTTTCCCAGGAGAGTATTCTCACAAGTTTGTCTCTGTGAACAAGAAGGTGAGTGCAGGAGTGGATGGTTGTCCTGTTGTTCTTTCCATCTAGGTAACACTTTCTTGTATGAAGAGCCATTGTGCAGAATCAGGTGGCAAGTATACAAGTGTTCTGGCAGCTTAGCCAGTTGAGGTTGGTTAAAGCAAGCTTTTTCTTACATTAGTATAACATAGGGAATTAGACTGAATGATATATACGTTTGGTTGGGTTTTTTTTCCTAACTTGTACTTTTTGCATTACAGGCTGCCTTAGCAGAAGTTAGGGCCTATCAACAGATGGCACTGGTTGCATCTGCTTTCGCTTTTGCCTGGAGCAAGTGGAATCTAGAAGCAGGTCAAGAGCAAGTAGTGTTCAAGGTTTGTGGATTTAGATTAAACTTCTAGAGAAAACTAGCACAGAACTGTCATAAAGAGACAGAAACAATTAACTTCTGTAAGTTACAGTCATCTCAAACATTGTCTTCAACCCCTGCATATGCTTTTAGAGCAGCAGTTTTAAGATTTAGGGTTGACTACTTAGCAGAGTTTGGTAAAAGTTCAGAGCCTGCTGCTCCAGTGCTCCACAGCTCATGCAATTGCAAGATCTCTAACAGTACGCACATCTCTCTAACAGAGACGCTTGCTAATCTGCTAGGATGTGTAACTGATAGGTCAGCTATTGAGGCTTTAGCCAAGGCTGGGATGACATAGCTGGATGCTGATTTTCATGAAGTATCCTGCTGCAGGGGTCCTCAGAATAGCCATCTGACCTGCAAGTTTTATAATTAATATCTGGACCTTTTTTCTTGTCCACTTGTTCCCTACTGTAAAGGGGGGATAAACAACTTCAGCATTGATGTGTTTTCATCTGTCAACTAAAACAGATGTGGTTAAAACTTCTCCCAGACAGACAGAAAAATACTCCCAGTTTAGATACAGAACATACCAACATACCATACCATTGAAGTCTTGAACAACTCTCCCCCTCTCTTGAGTTAAATACATGTGACATACTTAAATATTTAAGTATTAGGCTAATCCCAGGAGCAAGAACTAAACCAAGTGATGCCTGTTGCACTTAGCTCCTCTCTCCACAGGAGTCAGGAGCAGCAAGAAAGCTGGAGTGGCCAAACCTTGCCTTTTACAGAGGCAAACTAGAAGGAAGACTTTGGTGTTGATATAGTACCTGGTATACAGTCTCTTAGGCAGAGAGAGTTCATATCGTTTCAGGATTTCAAAGCAGTGCCTTGGCTTGCTTTCTGCATTACGCTCATGAGTATACTAGACTTCAGAATTTCATACTAGAATTTATACTCTGTGTCATGAGCTTCATCTTACAGCACTTTTTTTTTCCTGTAATAGGTAAGTGAGCATCTTAAAGCAGATTCTGACAAAGACTGGTCTCTTTACATGTTTAATGGTCAGAAAGCACAAAAGCTCAAGATCACTGAAAGCAGTGAAGCTTTTTCAGAAGAGCTAGAAGAAGATTCTGAATTTCACTCCACACTCTACCATATGCTAAAAGACTCTGCCAGCAAAGAAGCAATTGATAGAGTGGAAACAGCTAGCTTCCTGTTTATTGATGTTGTATATCAGCTACTCCTTGCTACAAGAGTTTTAACATACTCTTAAATACTGCATGCTTTCCTTTAAAACTTTATTATCAAAAGCTTTCAATAAAGTTACATTTCAAGTCTTGAATGCTTTTCTATTCAAATCATTAGAACAGCTTCAGTGACTAAAATGCAAACATTCTAGTTTTGCTAAAGCAAAATAAGTTCTTTATTCTCTTGTGGCGTACCACTTAGTCATATTTATTGTTAGCTACGTTCAAAATTACTAACCTGAATAGAACTGAGACCTTTTTAGGTAGTTGCAAAGATGACTTTTGTCAAACTTGGGGATGGGGGGAGGAAAGTATTTTTTAATTTCAAGTCATGCTTTAAAAAAAAAAACAAACAAAAAACCCCCCAAAACACCAAACAAAACACAACTTAAAAAAAATTTTCTCCCAAAAGCCCCCCCCCACAACCCAACCAAACCAACATGTAACCTTAAATATCCTATCTCAGCTTCTCATACTGTCATCCAGAACTCAGAAGTATAACTACAAAAGTCAGAACCTTTGTTATACTGGGGGTGGTCCGTTGTGTTGAAGTCCTGTATATGGCCACAACAGTTGCTGTAGTGAAGTCCAGGAGTCCCCAGTTCCTACAGGCGCTGCGTCGGCTGGTCTTTGAAGAGACAGCCCAGTGAGGAAGCTCGTAAGAGCAGCAAGCAGTACCAGGATGGAAACAGAAACCCAGAGAGTTTTGTTAGCATTGGAAAAGGAAGTCTTGAAATGGGATGCCCATGATGACATTAGATTGCACCTGCACAGGAGAGTAAGTCATAGAATGGTTTGGTTTTTCCTTCAAAACTTGGAAGCCCTCTTCCCACCCCAAAAAACCCTAAAGTAAACTAGACCACACAAACATACAGATCCTTAACTATCAAAAATTAGAAGGTCGTTACTGCGTTGGGAGCTATGTACAGTGGTAGCTTATGTTCTGGGCTTAAAATGCAGACTTCAGTAAGCAAGTTCTTGATCAGCTATTTAGGTGACTGACCCAACTCGTAAGTCCACCTGTGCTCCCTGTACCACACACTGTTTCTGAAGCAGATTCACAAAAGCTGCCTTGCGGATCATCAAGAAATTTCGCTTGTAGAAAGCGCTGAAAGTACTGGCCTTACGTTTTACTGTTTTCTAGGGCTTTGGGGCCTTCCTTGAGGTTAGGGAGAAGTCTTACCCTCACCGACTATCCAAATCCTAGACCTCTCATCATGCCGAGTACCTCTATCCTTTATCAAACAATAGAAAAAATAATAGTATTTGTTCTTGCTGTCTTCTCAGTTTTACACACGAGCATAACTGTCTCTGCTTTGATCAGGAATGCTCACAGTGGAGGCTTAGCATAGGATATTCACGTGGAATAAACAGTTTCTCTGTGGAGGCAGCTCCTTTCCCATAAGGAAGGGGCTTCCAAGGGATATTTGTTTAGGACAGCACTCGCTTCCTTGACTCGAGATACTCGGAGAAATTAGCTGGAATAGTCTGGAGTTAAGTTTTCATAACTACTTGTATCTCAGTGTGTGCCAAACCTGCTAAGTTTTGCACAGGACTCAAATCCTTGATCATTTTTACAAGAGTACACGTTAGCATGACCTAATAGCCTAGCTCTAACAGCTGTCACAGAATAACCAAAAGAGGTAGGGTCATAACATGAGGGTCCTCCTTACCTCACCATTTCAGATTAGTAAGGAATCCCTGCTGGGGCAAGTCTCTGGCACCTGAGATTACCCATTCCCAGGTGGTTTCTTTAAGAAGTTGGTACCAACAACCCAACTAAAGCTACAGCTTTGCTTCCTCATCCTGTGTCCGCCACCCAAACGTTGCTTTACCTCACAATGTGAGAAAACTTACACTGACTCTAGGTTCCATTTTGATGAATATTTTCCTTTTTCAGAGACACTTTCCTTCCTGGATGGTGTTTCTTGTACTTCTGCAGGTGATTCCGACTGCTCGTGTCTGTAAGCAAGCATCAACAGTTCCAAAGCTTTTCCATCAAGCATTCAGTTTGACAGAGCTCACAACAGCTTGATTTTACAGCCCTGATCAGGACAGTTAAGAGTTCATTAGAGACAAACAAACCAGCCAGCCCTGCACACACACACGCGTGCGCGCGCACACACACCTCAGAGGATGTTGCTGTTGGAACTTACTTTGTTTCAGCATGTTCGTCTTCATACTCTGCCCAGGAATACGTGCTAATGAACCGCTGTAGTGAAGGACGCTTCTCATTTTGCTTTGCTCCTAGTCGCCCCCTGTCATATTTTAAACAAATTTGCCTTCATTTCCCTATCAGATACGTAGCAGGAAATTAGAAATTCAGCAGCAGCCTACTCCTTTGAGTAGGCCTTAGACAAATAAGTTTCTAAATTGGTTGCCTGAAATTAGGATTCTTCAAAGAAAACAAAACACATCCACAAAACAACCACCACCACCCTCCCCCCCACCAAACACCCCCAAAAACCAGATCCATCAATGCCAGCTGCCTAGATTTCATATTTTAGTTCTAAAGCAAGAAAGTTGAGGTATTTTTTTTAAAATTCTAAACCCTTAATAAAAAAATTAAAAGAGAGCAGCTGTAACATTTACTCACAAAGGTTCATTTACCTACTGAAGCATGAAAAACTAATGTGAAGAGTATAGCTTAAACATGATTATACCTCAAGACGCTCCATAAACTGCTTAACACAGGCGCAGTTAGATTTGAAAAATATTTAACCCTATTCAAAGACAAGCCGAAGTAACTTTACCAACTGCTTGATCTCCTGTTGAATTTATCATTCCATTCATCTCTATCAGGTTCATGGAACTGGGCCTAAAGAAAAAGTTTGACACACTTACTGCATCAGCATTTTCACGCTTCAGCCCAGCCAGCTTTGAGAGGGTAAAGCACCTCACCATCTAGGCACCCTTACTTACCAGCGGCAACCCAACGCCTGCATTTCCAGTGCTCCTAGGCAGTGTTGCAATGCTAACTCTTCGTAGGGATGATGAGGGCTATACAAATAAGAGGCATTACTGACTCTATCAAGGAATGACTGCATTACTCACTGATCACAAAATACCATCTGTTTTTATACAAGCTGTATAAAACATAGATGTTGATACTTAGCTTGAGGTGACACACAAATCAAATCAAAGCACAGCCCAAACCATGTTCTTTAAAGCAGCATCTTCCCACATTA